TTATAGTGAAAGCAATGAAGATTTTGTAGGTTTGAACCAAACTAAATAACAGTAAACCTTTTTTTGATTTTCTTATTTTGATGTTTTGAGCTTTTTTGTGTTTAGAACAATATATACTAATCTTTAAAGTATCAAATTGAATTTTTATTCAATAAAAATCTTTCAAATGCGACTGTAGCTTTTTTTTCCCAAAAACTTTGTCTTCAAAATAAGGGTGCTTGTTATATTCCGAAAAATACGGTATATTAAGAACTTAAAACTTAGTTAAATGAAAAGCAAATATATTACTCTAAAGTAATGTCAGAAATAAACAAATTACATATTAAAAATGAAGAACTAATTGTTGGTATTGAAAAACTAGAATTGCTTAATGATTCACAGAAATATTTTGGTTGGTACAAAGCTGTTGGAATTGATGGTTATTGGCTTAAAGTGATTGTAAGTTTGTATTTGTGTGATAAATTTAGTTTTTAATTTTGATTACATAAAATTTGCTTATAACTTTTCAGTTTTTTTAGATTACTGTAGTAGTGTTACATTTTTATTTTTTTTCTTTATGTTTTAGTAAATAAAATATTTTTTTAAAATGTTTATTGCCTATTTTTTTCTTTTTTGATTAATTAAAGTTGGCTTATATTCACACAATTTCAGAACCCTCTATTGTGCAAAAGGTAACTATGACTTTGGAATCTCACGAGTTATCAAGAGCTTGGAGCCATACAGTAAGAAACTTGGTACTGATACTTGGTTTTATGCCAAGAGGTGTTTCCTATCATTGTTAGAGAATCTTGCAAAGCAAGTAATTATGATCCGTGATACTGTCCTGTATGATGCACTCCAGTTCCTTACTCAGTGTGAAAGTAAGTTACCCTTATTATTTTATTTGAATTTACTATTCTCTATAAATACTTTTAAAATTTGTAATAATTGCTGTAGTTATTAAAAGGTAATGTAATTGAACTTAGTAAAATTGTATAGACACTTGTGGTTAAGGTGTTCTTATTGAGTTCTCATAGACGTTGTTTTTAATAAGGATGGCACTATAGGTTTGTGCCATAAAATATATCAATAGCTATAGTTACTTAAGATAAATCAACATGTAGATTGTAAAATTAGACTATAGTCAATAGAGCTAGTGTTCTTGTTTATCTTATAAGATAGAAGAGACAAGCTTTTTGATGTTTCTTAACACTGATATGAAGATTGGTGTTAGTATACATCTTACATGCGAGTTCTTTTAGACACTGTTATGCTATGGTACAGCTAGAGTATAGACAGTACAGATAGGTTTTAAACATGAGAAAAGGATAGGAAAGGATTAAATGACAGACACACTTAAAATCAAGAAGTTCTACAAATTGAGTTCTTTGATATCCCTACATAGTCCAAACACTCCTGGTAATAAGGAATAGAGAGAAAACAAATGATATATAACCCTTTAAAGTTATACAATAAAATGTAAATACTTGTAGCTTTGCAAACTTGTATGTTGTAATGTTCTAGCACTTACCTTCATCACATATAACCTAGGTTAAATGATAGAAAAATGTTGAGAGTAAAGTAAGGACTAGTCATTGCTATTTTTTGTAACAAAGATGAAAATACTAGACACTACAGCCAATATTCGTAGCTGAGAAATTCCTAATGCATAATATTTAAAATTTTGTAGAATAGTGGCATAGCAAGGGTCTGAAAGGCCCTTGGGAAAGAACTGTTTCTTTGTCTATCCGTCACCAACTATTTTTACACAGTTATATCTATAAAAACTTCCTTATAACACAAATGAAAAATTATATTGAATAACATTACACAGGTTCACTCATTGTCCTGGTCAGAAAAAAAAAGCCTTTTGAAACAATGCTATCTTTGCTTTGGGTTTAGGAGCTTTGTACATAGTTCTTATACAAGAAAACAACAACAATGAGGCTTGGACAATTAATGGTAAACACTATTTCTTCATTGAAGCCACCCTTAAATGTTAAGATGGATTTACCAAATCTTTTGCTTTAAATTCATAATTTGTGTAAATTAAGCATGAAACATGGTAATTTAAATGGGTTTTTATCTTTACATTTCAATATTTGTGGAGTAAGTTTTGGAATTCTTTCTTCAAAATCGGCTTGCTTCTGTTAGTATACAATTTTTGTATGAAAAATTATCTTAAATATTTCTTAATTGTTGTAATTATGTATATTGCATTGAAATAATAGGTGATGATGTATTATCATTTCTATAAATACCATTATTCAACTGTATTCACTGCAGTTAGTTGATAAGTGTATTTATCACATAATGGTTATTGTGAAGACTGATCAAAGAAAGAAGTTGAAAATATACTCAATAAATATGGAATATAGAGACAAACTAGATTATTATCTTTTCATGATTTATAAATATTATTTTGATTGTTTTTTTTCTATTTTCTCCCCTTTTTTTACATAAAGCTTGTTTTTAGTGGACCCTCTGGTAACTTCCTCATTTTTCTGACCTATTCTGGAATGTTAATATTTCATACTGGCTATTTATGGACAAATGATCCTATTTTGATTTTAATTGACATTTCAAACGTCCACTTTAGTTGACAATAATATATATTACCTGGTTATATAATATTCTAACAAGCCTTCAAAGACTAAAATAATCTGTTTCGGTTGTCTGATCCTAGTGTGATTAGAAGCTATTTCAAAATTAAAATAAACATTGTAAAAACATTGATTTATCTTTGTATTCCCTCTGTGAGAGATATTTTAACTTTATTGTATATGGTGTTTCACTATGTATATAAATAATAAAAACAAACAAACTTTGTATTTTCCACATTAATTATTTGCTGCTCTAGTAATAGTTAATTTGTGTGTGTGTGTGCCAAAGTGTATAAAGGAACAAAAATCTACAGAAATGAACCATAAAAAACTTAACATTTAAACAAAACTTAAAATTAGAAACATATAAGATAGATGTATGTCCTAAGAATTGTAATAACATAATAACTAAAAAAAAATTGAAAATACAAATCTAGACTTGTCACTTTCTGCCCTTTGATTTTCTTCATAAAGCCAATGATGTTTTATATTGTTTATTTTTCTGTTTTACAGTTTCTCTAGTATTTATTTAAAGTACTCATTTTGATTGATATTATGTCTTTATACATTTTTATTTTGTTTTATTGACCAACCATTTCAAGGTTTTAACTGCATACACAGCATGATATTTTAAGTACATTTAATTTTTCTTTATTTTTATACAAAATGTAAAAAAACTTTCTCTTGCTATTGAATTTAAATTTTTAAGTATGTTTTGCTTTGAAACACAGCTATTTTATGTTAATTTATGAGGTTAAGTACTGCAAGGTTAATGCCATAGTTTGAAATAGACATTGCATAATGTTATTTCTAACATAGCAGCACTGTAAAGGGAAAGTAATAGGAAAGATAATATTTTTTCTTTGTAACAAATACATGATAATGGTAGCTTAAAACCTTTGCATGAAACATTATTCACATTTTATAAAAATATTTAGGGTGCAAAAAATAACTAACTTTATTATGGTGAAAGCTTATTTTTTTATATCAGTATGTATATGTTTCTAGGTTATGGTCGAAATGTGAAAGCTGTGATAGAACAACCATTAGAAGAAACGCCACTTCATCCTGGAAAGAATACTGTCACCTATGAAGCTCGCCTGCTTAAGGCATTGCTACTAGAAATTATGAATAATTGAATCAAATTTCGTATTTATTTGTAGTATTGACACTTGACGCCATCTATTTACATAGTTTGGAACATTAATACAAATACTTAAATTAAAAGAGCATTGTTCATATGTGAAAAAATATCTTCATTTTAGTTGATCATTGTTCTTTCCACTATTATGTAAATTTAAATGTTTTATGGGAGTCTATCATTTTGGTTACATTGAAGTCATGCATTCAAGTTACACAGCTGACATACCATTTAGTAATCTTACCAACAACATTTGTGCTTCATCTAACTTTTACATGGCCTTCACATCTGTAATAGTCAAGAGAAGTATGCGAAACATTAAGTGGCCATCTCAGACATATCAAATAATACTTTAAATGAAACAACTTATAAGCTTTCAAAACCTTTTTTAAAATGTACTTTTGTGAACACATGAACAGTGTAAATGACTAGGGAAACAGTTTATGGGAGGTTATTATTAAACAAAAAGGTATATCTGGCAGTTATTCTTACTTAGTGTAAACACAAATTAAAGAAGTGCAATGAACAAGTTCCTGTACATGTGCTTGTTTCTGTGATATCTTTTGTCAAATGTTTATCATGCCATCACTAGACTAGCAAAGAAATTATGAGCATAGTCACCATGAACAGTGGATTGACATAAAAATTACCTCAATTTCTATCATCTATGCATAGAAATATATATCAGTGTATTTTCAGGCTAAATCATTCCTATATTAAAGAGAAAAAGTAAATAAAAATATGATATTCTATAATTATTTCACATTTCCTTAGAATATTTTCTCATTTTTGTGATATGCAATTTGGTTTATCAATAAACCTAAAGAAAACAAGTTTACTATTACTTAAAGTGATACATTCAGAGTGTTTGTTCAGTGCACCCAAATTGTCATATGTCTTATGACACTATGATAGATTTAACTCTATTCACAAAAGCTAAACTGTTGATAATTTGACCTCCCATTTTTTCAACCCTCTGCTAACAATTGTTTTGAACTTATATTTGTAATATTTGTACTTCTAAAAGTGAACTTCCTAGTGCTGTGACTTTACTATTTGCTTTTCACTGGGTGATGAAATTCCATTTTTTTAACGGTTTACATACTCTTTCCATTAGTTTTACCTAATTTTTATAGATATGTTTTATTTACTTATTTAAAATCTTTTTTTTTTTCCAACTAATAATTTGGGGTAATTTTATGTTATCTGTAGAAAAAAATGATTATGAAAAATAGGTGTTCATATCTAGTAGTTAATTTTACTTAATTATAAACACAAATTGCAACAAGTAATTACTTTTAATTTACCATGGAACTGATGTTTTTTGAGTTATTGTCAGTTGTTCACTTTTTTTTTCATCAACTTTGATATGCAAGTAAATTAAAAACTTTGAAACATTTTATTTCTAGTCTTTTTACCTTATTTGTATGAACAAGAGTTCTACTTGTGATATTTGAATTAAACCTGTATAACTCAGAATTATGTTGTGTTTGTTAGTCATTTAACCTTATGGTTTTGAACAACTAGTGAAGCCAGAAAACTCTAGGTATGCTGAAGCTCATAGAACAGCATAGGCTTTTTTTCATGCTTCTCAAAGGATTTCTGTTAGAGCTGTGTAAAAATGCTCTTTCAGATTTACCATTTGTTTGATACAGGTTTCGTTGAGAAAGTATTATGTTTGCTACTAGGACTGATCTGCTAAGTAGGATTTATGCCAACCATAATTCTATATGAAATGTTATTTTTGGCAATATGAGAAACTTGTATCATAATATAAAAAAGCTTAATTTATTGAAGCCTAATACATGTGATGAAACGTCATGTTCAACTTCAGATTTTTATTTTTCTTATTCAATTCATTATAAATTTAAAAACCAATGTTATATTATTAAGTTAGATTTGTTACTTTTAATCTCTTGAAGTGAGTAGCAGCCCTTAATCTCCACCTGGTATATGAAAGTATAATTGTTTCTCATTTAATTAAAAAAAAGGAGAAAAATTGACTGCGATTCCATTTTAGTGGTATAGAAGCTCTGAAAAAAGCTTGTAGGTTGTAACTTCCACAACGGTCAACAAAGCTTATATTCGTTCGTCCCACAAAATACAAATTAGGTGTAGGCGTGGTCTAGAGTAAGACTGAAAAAGGATCTATATAATACGATTCAGTATCTATCTGCATGTGTCACGTAACACCTAAACCACTGGTCACACCGACTTCCAAATGGTACCGAACCAATCGTCTCGGTCACGAAGTTTGCACAAAGGTAAAAAAAAAAGTTTCACCCCACCCCTTGAGGAACCCGAGGATTTCCCGAAAACCCTTTCTAATCTGCTGAACTCACCAACTTCTAATTGGTGCCACAAGAATAGTCTCGGCTCCGAGGCTTGCACGAACGTAAAATCTTTCACTCAACCTTCTTAGGGAATCCGGGTATTTCGCGTAAAAGGACCCCAAATTTGGCATTTATTTACATTAGAGCACATAAATAAGTAGGCCTACTAATTATGCATATGTTGTTATAGGCTTTTTAGTATATAGAAGTTCATATTAGTGTTAGCTAAAGGAACTATTGGCGTCACCTCTGAATTTTCTTACGTTTAGGAAATTACTTGAGCAAAATAAACACTAGAGATTGATTGAGCTAGTGAATTTTGTTAGTCAGTTTATCATTTGCTATCAGCTAACTGGTTAGTCAAATTAGTTAAGGAAATTAAACTTGCATTATAGCGGTAATGATCATTAAACTGAAAAAGTGCTAAATAGTAGTTCAAGCACTAAATTTGCATTGTAGTGTCCCTGTAAATATGAGCGATATGCCCACGGGTTTGCTAGCAGTGAATGATATTGATGAGTTTTGTGATATGTATATATGCATACTAGATAAACAGAAGGAAAGAAACGAGGACGGGGTAAGTAAGAAATTAAAATCTAAATATTTTATAATGGTGTACAAGTTGAGTTTTTAGCTCTGTCAATATCTACTTATTTACCATATGATTAAATATAGATTTAATTACTCTGTTACCAATTGCTAAGTTATATGTGTAAGCACATGTGTCATGTGCTTAGTATAGAACTTTGCACAGTTATCAATCGTAAAGGTCTGGTACATATCATATTTCCATTTCACATACATAATACGTTTTGTTACCGTGTGTGGTAATTATATATATATCTAGTGTTTAGCGTTAATTACAGTGGGATGAATTGTCAGTATCGTCTTGTAATGTATTACAGATGTAAACAATTATCGGAGTAATTCGTTTTTGTTTCATTTACTTGTTACAACTAATATTAATTATACTTGTCACAAAACATTAGTGTTATTATTTATTCAGTCCATTAAGGTTTTTCAAGAAGAGTATATAATAGTATTTTGGCCACACTGCTTGTCATATCCATTTTTCGACACGCGTTTCGCTCAGCACAGAGGTCAATTTTGGAACAGGTTTGATACCGCACTGTTATCAAACATAGAACTTTCTAAATGAGCATCCACAGAAGCACACACGTGATTCACTAGCAAGTCAATATTATATATATCATTATGAATATAAATAATTCAAAATTGAAATCTGAAATATATTTAAAAGTTTTTGGGAAAAAACATTAACAAGTAAGAATACTGTGCGTTATTGTTGCGATGTGACGTAATGGTTCAAATTAAGAATGATGATGACCCAGGAGGTCGAAACGTTGTTTTGTGCATTAAAATAAAGTTTTCCATGCCAACATCAACATCATTATATAACGTTAGCCCCCCCCCCTGTGGCATAGCGGTATGTCTGCGTATTTACAACGCTAGAAATCGGTTTTCGATACATGTGGTGGGCAGAAAATCTACCAAAACAATAAAGAACAATAACAAAGAAATTGTTTTTTGAATTAATAACTCATTTAATTGCAATTCTAAGAACGCATAACATCTTTTAAAATGTGTAAATTATGGTGAATTATATATTGGTGAAACAGATAATTTAAAACTTCGGAAGTCGCTCAAGAAATTATAACTTGATATGTGAAAAAGCAGACAAAGATGAAATATGGGTAATAATGGCCCAACAAATTTATAATCAGATGGTTTATGAACATTTGAACGATACAGAAGTTCACCAAAAAAATGGTACGTTTAAATAAATTGAGATGTGTAACTTTTATATAAGAAAAATTAAAGAATTTTGTTGGAGTTGAAGATGATATTTAAAAAATAAAAAAAAAAAAAAAAGAAACAAGATTTTATTTTAAGTAATTCAGAAACTGGGTATTTCTATATGCCTCCTAAAATCCGTAAATGAAGAGAGATTAATGAATTATTGTTCGGAACAGAAAGTGAATATATTCATATTGGAAAACCTCCCAATATTCCAGGAAGACCGATTGTAGGAGGAAATCAAAACATTACTGAACATTTAAGTGACCTTTTAGACATATTACTAAAACCTTTTTTATCTCATGTTCCGAGTCTTATTAGAAATGATTTTGAATTTGTTGAAAAGTTGCCAAGAAAATTTAGAAGAAAATCGGAGTTTTGTTTCTTTAGATGTGTTAGCTCTGTAACCAAGTATTGAACAAGACTACGGACTTAAAGCTGTGTAAGGTTTTCTAGATAAATACAAAGAATTAATTCATCCCAGGTTTAATAAAGGCTTTATCTTAAAAGGTTTAGATATAGTTAAAAAATGTATTTATTTTTTACTTATGAGAAGCAAATCTGTCCCCAAATATCTTGTACAGCAATGGGCACAAAAGTCGCTCCAACTTATGCTGACGTCACTATTTTTCGAATTACAATTATTTAATATACGGCCTAATTATTTTGAAGATAATTTTGTAGCTCAAGTTAAAACTTTTTGGAAAATATTTTTAGATGATTGTTTTGTAATATGGGAAGATACTCAAGATATTAATAAATTTTAAATTCAATAATAAACAAGAAAATTAAGTTACCTTCGAAAGAAACAATAAAAGCTTGTCATTTTTAGATTTGATGGTGTTTCACCAGAGAAGGAAATTGTAACTCATACTTTTTATAAACCTACAAAATCATCCAAAACATATAAAATTGCAAATCTTACAAGTAGGTTATATCGCTTGATTTCCAAAGAAGCTCAGCGGTATATCTGTGGACTTACAACGCTATAAACCGGGTTTCGATACCCGTGGTGGGCAGAGCACAGATAGCCCTTGTGCAGCTTTGTGCATAATTAAAAACAAACAAACAAACCAATGAAGAAAAGAGAGGTAATACATTACTAGTTTGTTTGTTATGGATTTCGCGCAAAGCTACACGAGGGCTATCTACGCTAGCCGTCCCTAATTTAGCAGTGTAAGAGTAGAGGGAAGGCAGCTAATCATCACTACCCACCGTCAACTCTTGGGCTACTCTTTTACCAACGAATAGTGGGATTGACCGTCACATTATAACGCCCCCACGGCTGAAAGGGCGAGCATGTTTGGTTGGATGAGGATTCGAACCCGCGATTCCAGCGCCGTAACCACCTGGCCATGCCGGGCCCTACATTACTAGAACTAAACAAATTTTTAGTTCTGTGTCACTGTCCGGAGAAAGTTATATCAAGAATAACTTTTTTTTTTTAGAAAACATTTGAATATAGACATTATTGAATCTAAAGAGAATATTATACCTTTTGTTGTGACTCATTGTCCAAATATACATATTTATATTTCATTTGTTAATGTACAATTAAAACAAATAGTAGATAAAAAACTGAAAGATGTATTCAAAAATAATAAAATTATTCTATCAAGAAAACAACCTAAAATCTGTATAGATTATTGAATAAACCTAAAAATATGAGGTTTTTCTAAAAAAGGTATTTTCAGTTGTAACAGAAAGAACTGTACTTTATGTAATTTAGGTTATATGAAATGTACCAAAACAATAACAAAGAAATGTTGTTTTTGTATTAATAACTCATTTCATTGCGTTTCTAAGAACGTAATATATCTTTTTAAAATATATTGGTGAAACAGATAATTTACGATTAAGGATAAATTACATGTTAGGTGTCCTGAATATAGCCCACTATATGTCAGTAAACATTTTATTGAATGTATCTCAAGAAAATTTAACATTCTAAAAGAACCATATTTTCCCTTCTTGGTAAAAAATTTAAAACATAAAATATTATTTTCGAAAACTATTTTATAATTTTTTTGGCACCACATTAAATAGATAGTAGTAAGAGGATAAAAGTAATTGGTTATGTAAAGTCAGTAGGAATTCTAAAAACCGTGAAAACAGTTACTAAGAATTACAGAAGAGAAAAAAATAAGTAAACGTATGAAATTATAGGATAAATAAATTTAATTTCTATTATTATTATAAAAATAAGAAATATAATTAGAATAATATTTTAATTTACAAAGTATATTGACTAATTTTATTTATTTTTGAGCACTTGTGATGTACTTAATTTGTACATTGTTGTTTTGTTATTAAACACAAAGCTACACAAAGGGCTATCTGTGCTCTGTCAATACGGGTATTGAAACCCGGTTTCTAGCAGTATAAGTCCGCAGACATACCGCTGTGCCACTGGGGGGGGGGGGGATAATTATACGTGAACTGTATTATATGTTTGTATATTTGGAAAGTATATGTATTTAATTTAGCTTATTTATGTTTAGTTGAAAAGCGGTATTTGTATGTTTTTTGTTATAGATTCTCAGTAAAACTATTTCTTGAAGAGTAACATTTCAAGTCACGAAACCTGGAGTAGAAACTATTTAAAAAAAAGAGGAAAAGGTCTGATATTCTAGTGTTTTCTTATACATACATATATATATATATACATATATAGTTTGTTCTGTGAATAAGGTGGTAAACATTATTTACAATATAGAAAGACTTAAAGGGGATTATATTTTTCTCGAATGCTGTGCACGAGAGGCATAATTTATCTGAATGGAAATAGATTATTTTTCTTGCATTGAAGACATCCATAAGAAAGAAAAGAAAATATATCCTAAATGTTTTGAAAATTTTGTAATCACAATAATTTTGAGAAAAGAGTAATTATATTTAACTGACGATAAATCTATTCAAGCAATTTACTCCTTTCAATGTTTGCTTTTTCTTTTCATATGTTCTTTATATTTACTATTATAAGTTGTGTGTATTTTCTTGTAAACATGTTTTCAATTTGAAGCTCAGATCAATCTTCAAGAAAATAAACTACTTAATCAATACTCTGACTGTTCTAAAATATATACTGTAATGTTAGTAATAACACAAAAAGAAGGAAACTTTAGTGCTTTAAGTGCAGATAATGTACTGTCAAACAAAAGCAGCAAAGAAGTCCTAATTTTATAAATGGACAAATTAATTCGTAAGAAAGTGACAGTTTTCATAATCAACAATAAAGCTGTCTGGTTTAAACTTTGGTAAATACCTAATTAGATCTATTACTCTGTTATCTAATAAAGGTCTTTCATTATTAAGATTTTTGGTAAATCTTATCATTCAATAATAATAATGAAAAAGCAAATATATTTAATTATACGGACTTTGTAGATTGGTAACTTTATACTAGAAAAATGGATTATAATAAATATAATTCTGTACAATTATGGGACCTTTATTTTAGGACTAGGTTATGTACCCGTTCAATGCGCGGGGAAGACATAGGGGGGGGGGGTCAGAAACCGTTTTCATGTCTGTCTTTCAGCATCAATTTGTCTTCTTCGGTTTCTTTCAGGATCTTCATTTGACCGTATCAGTTATTTTCCCTTTGCTTCAATTATCCTAATTTTTGCTAAGCTTTCTCGATTTTATCGTGCCATCCATCTACTTTTTATTTCTTTTGCTAAGCGACGTTTTCTTTCTTACACTGTTTGTGAACTATTTTTAGTTTATCCAGAATTTTAGTTTAGAACTTATTTCATAGATGGTTTCAGAAATGAAAAGATGAGGTGGCTTATTGCTGTAAACAATCTTCTAATTCGTATGTTAACAAATATCACAAATCTATAATGGTATTGAAATAACTTGCTGTAAATATGATTATTAAAATAAAAAATTAACATAAAACCCTAACTTAACTGCGATTTGAACACGAGACTTCCATGTGTTTAAAATCCATGTTTACAAATATTAATTGCAAATATCATGGTATTCGTATTTTCCCAAATATTGAAAGAGCTTGTTCTAAACATGTTCACTTATTTAACAGGCCCCCTCACAAGCCAGTGGGGGACATTTTTGTTGAAAAAACAAACAAACTAACCAATTCGGTTTTTCTAATTTGAAATGAAATTTTTTGGACATTTTTATTGGCTAAAAAGAAGGCATTTCCCACATTCTTTTAGCGTTCGGGCTGCGAAAAGTGATTTGAAGTAATAAGGTGACTGAAATACGTCAGTGCATCACGAGCTTAACGGACAAGCACAAGAAGCATGTAAGTCTCCAAATGACAGGCAGAGAGAGGTGTTGAGGAACCATTTAGAACCACCTTGATAAATATTGTGCAGCAAGCCGAGTACAATATTATGCCTATAGCTGCTTTCAAAGTGTTCCTGTCTGCTCATCCTACTGCTGACTATCGCGATCCTTCGACCTTCGTTATCGAATCACAGGTGAGACCGTTCGTATACCAATTGAAAGCTAAACATAAAAATGTGATAGCAGAAGCATAAAAGATTGGTAATTACTTAATTCATTATGCTGAGAATGTGCATAGACCTTAGCGCTAGCTTGTATGGAGACTTGAGGATGCTGTATTTCACGTAAATGTTTATCAACTAACAAACGAAAACTTGTCTCGAAAAGATACGTCCAAAACCACCTTCTTTGGGAGTTTCCGAATTGAACTTACTTTTAATATTCAACAAAATGTAGTGTAAAGACAACCCTTGAGGGATGTGTTAAAAATAGTAGATAATCACAACTGTACTGGTATTTGAACATGAGACTTTCGCTGTGGTTTGGATTTAACTAGTGAGGCAATTTGAGCGTTACCAACAGACAGTGACTTTCATATATATAGCTAGAAGGTCGTACTACATATTTCTTCTATTACGAAGAGGGTAAAAGTTTACTTTGAACAGCGAATTATAGTATTTTCCGAATCTGTCCCTGATAACACAAGCCTGCGAATTTAAACTCCATAAAAGTTGCTTTGGTTTTAATAACGGATTTTCCATAATTCAGCTACGCAGATTTCGAAAATAATATTTGTATCACGTAAGGATTTTATACAAATCAGGGAAAACCTGTTACTTAGATCAAATTAGTATTTAGTTTACCATAATGAAAATTTTATATTATTATGTTTGGATTCTAGAACGATCGATAAGACTCACGTCGCGATTGGTCTAGAGAACTCTAAAGCCAGTGGTTGTCAAGATTTTAAGCATAACAAAATGTGACCCGATTTCAATGAAAATGATTCACTTATGTAAAAGTACATATGACGTTTTGTGAAAAACCTGTACGTAATGGAGAAAATGAACATCATTTTCTGATTCAGTGTACAGGAATTACTGTAGAATATGTAAAAATTTCAGGACAATAAAACCATTCCAGGCCTGTGTAATCAATCCATATAGATTTGACAGTTTTTAGAATGTAACAACATAATCTTTAGTAGAGGAGAATATGTTACTCAGATTTTGATTGAGTACTAACTGTTAAACATTTTTATGTCTGATGAAGGTTCAAATAATCATGTTTTTGCTAATTAAAAGCCAGTGGTTTCTAACTGATTCGTTTCTGGCTCAAAGCTGATGTTTATATGACCTTTAGAACTGACATCGGAAGCAGAAGTGTTGTTTTTCTTTGGCGCTTTTAGACTACTTTGGTTTTTTGAGTGTGACTCAGACACTTTGATAGGATTATCTTGATCATCTATACCTTCATTATTTTCTGGCAAATCTGTCAATTTGGAATTTGCTCGACTTCTTGATGGTTTAAGTTGGTGATCGTTTTTAAAAATATCTGGTGGTTTAAGAAATTGCTGTGTCTTTAGCACATCTAAGGTTTTGTCAGTTGATGGAACAAAAGACAAGCTTGTGGAGGCCTTTTCTCTTGTCTCCACCTCTTTTAGACAACGACTTTTCACAGGTACAGAGCTGTGTCGTCGACCTTCCAGGGCTAGAATAGATTGCATGTTGCTTGAATATAAGCTGGCCATGCGGAGAGACGATGAAGTTGATATTTCGTGGAATCCGTGATTTGACACAATTAATGATAGACTAATAGCCCGTTCTCGTTGTTCTAGCTCTTTTTTTGTTTCTGCAAGAAAAAGTAAAACTGATTAAATAAAATTTCACTTGATTTAAATTGAAGGTAAAAATTTGACATATTAATAAATAAATTGCTGTTTAACTTTTGATCAGTTGACATGTTTGTATTCTGATGATTTAATCAGTTAGCATCAGGAATATATTATTTAATGATGGCAAAATTTTGCAGTTTACTAATTCTAAAAGCTTGTACTTATATTATCTGTCTGACTGGTGTTCAAAATTAGGGATACTCGCACTTTATGGGCTGGCCGTTTAGTCCATGCATCTCTTAATTATCTGATTGTTTAAATATTATGACTAATAAACAAGTAAATCAAAAAATTACCAACGAAATATTGATTGGACATTTCAAAGTATAAACCCAATTTATACAATGGCAATGCAATTGTCCACACCTGAAAGCATTAGTAAAAGAACTTTTGTCCCCCCAAAAAAGGAATTTAATTACTTCAGAACGTGAGGCCAAAAATTACCAGTCTTATTGGAATATTTTATTATAATTTGCTGCTTAGAAGGTTATAACATTTCATTACTTTCAAGCATACATTCCTGTCAACTAATGTCGCATTAGAGATAAAATATCCTTTCAAGTAAGGTGTTTAGATATATTGTTTAACCAGCTAAATTATTTCTGGCGACTAGGAAAATACACGAGTCAGAGTAGTTGACAAAGAAAATAGCAGGGTTAAAATGCTATTGCTATGTTTTATTTGACATTGAAAAAGCTAAAAAATACCGTGCTGAAAACTTTTTTTTTCTTCTTAAGCACAAAGATACACAATGTTTAGCGTTATAAGCCTTTCGACTTACCACTGAGACACGGGAGGGGTGCTAAAATTATTATAGTCCACTGTGTCAGTTTCATCATCTTTAGTAACTTTAAAGAGTTTATGTATTGCTTAGCAATGTGGTTCTTTACCTGGAGAGCTATCAGCAGCTTTATAAGAAGGAGGACGCTTCCTTAGGTAAAACACGTTGATGAAGAAATAGAGCGCGCATAATCCAGCAGCTGTGTAAGAATATATGCGAAAAGTTTGACGAAATCCCAAGGCATCCGTCATGAAGCCTCCACTAAGACTTCCAAAAGCCCTTCCTAAACGGGAGGACAAATGTGAAGTATTTAGTAAACAGGTCAATGAAAGTGGATATCAGAAGTGAATTTTTAGAATAAAGTTGCTCATCATATTATATTTTATTACTGGACATCGTTTAATTCCATCGTATTTAGATACAGTTATAGTGACGGAAAACATCAATGATATACTCATTGACTGGAGTTTTTTTTAAAACAGAATATCAACAGTAAATATATAAACTACCAGGGCCAACAGAAGATTTTTTTTATTTCACAGTATTGCACCTTGCACATTCTTCAGGAGTTTTTGTCCAGTATACATGCAGACGAAAACATGAGGTAAAATGAAATATGAGTTAAGAAAACACATATCCATCGGTACCAATAATACGACTTCTCCAACAATATAAAATATTCTTTGAAGTTTAATTAATGATTACAAAAATGTTTACAAGTATTAATGAAACACAGATCTAAAACATTACGGTCAATTAACTCTCAGGGGAAATATCAACGGAAGAAGGTGTATAATAATTTTTATAACGTAAGAAAACTGAGTTGTATCAAAATAAGCAAATAAGTCAAATGATACAATAAGTAACATATTCAACTTCCAATTTACAAAGATAAACTTTTGAATTTATTCATTATTAATTGTTTTTCTAAAATAAAGTTGATTCTTTGGTTTTAGGATCTAGAAAAGTACATTCTTTAGCTAATGTTTTTACGTTATAAAGGTTTTCTATTCTTAGTATGCCATGTTTTTGGTAGTACTGTTCTACATATAGCTGTTGGCCGGCTCACAACCCTGAAATTAAGTGAATAGGCTGCGTTTATCAGAGGGGAGAATATGATAGCTAGGTAGAAGTTTGAATAGATAAAACGTGCCTTATTAGTTGTAGCCAGGGAGCTAACCCTTTAGCTTTGTTCGCAGGGTGTTCGTTTAGCAAGTGCAAAGTACCGGATCCAACACAGGTGGAAGCAAAAAAAGTTGATTACCACAGCCCCACCGACAATTAAGTTAATCGTGCAAAATGTTCTTTTTTTTTTATTTTTACAAAATTATTAATTTTTTTTTCAAATTCTCCACATATTTGTTATTTTTCACTTTCACGTAAATTTATTAAAAAGCTTAGAAAATAGAATATGTTACATTTGACAGTCTTATGAACAATAATATTGTTTAACAATCTATGCATTATACCTTACCGGAGATGAAATGAATATTATTCCACAGTGTCATCATCGTTGTCAACATCTCTAAAGGAGCAAGATGAGAGCAATAAAGAGTTACTCCAACTGTCAACAATGTCACTGTAAAACTTTCCATTGTCTCATAGATAAGGCACATATATGGGCTTGTGGCATATGAATATCCAATAAATCTTATTACATAAGCCGCAAAAGCTAAGACAATGACGTTGACATAACCAATTTTTTTCGTTACCCAGGTAGAATAGATAGCCATTAAAACTCCAGTCCCTGCTCCGACAGTGAAAGTTAGTCCCATTAGAAGAGTAGTCGACTTCAGTTCGCTTTCTAGGAACCAAAATAAAAAATTTTCAAGAAATCCCCACGAAATACCTAAGAAAAGAAGGTGAAATAACATGATATCTACTTCTACGTTCCGCAAAATAATTCCCAAATTTTTAAAAGCGCCCTCTGATGGCATTTTCATACTGAGATCTACAAAAAGTGAAACGATAGCTGCTGTTACATACAAAGCCGCGTAAAGATAAAAACATGGAGAATAATTTTTGGCATTTATGTCTACACTGACCCAGTCCACCAACCCACCACTAATTGGAGCAAAAGCGCACATGGCTACAGCTTGCCACATCCGCTGATATCCAATGTCTGCTTCACATCTTTGTGCCACCGCCATTGAAGCTGCATCAAAGAGTCCATTCACAAGTCCAATCCCAAGAGACACACCAAGACGAATAGATAAATATATCCAAAAGGTTTTAATAGATTTCCTCTCTGTGAAACACAGTTTGTTATTTCCTTTAGTCTCAATGTTACAAATAGTCATACAGTTTGAAACGCCATTTCTTGTAGATTTAGGTTGACAAGTAATGTCATCATATATTTCTTCTCCAAATAAAAATTTTTTTGCAATAGCATAGTAAATTACAGTTGTCTCGTCTTCATAATTTTTTTTTAGAGCTGTAGAATTTAAGTCAAATATGTCAAAACTGGTTCTTTCAGTCGCATCAGCACAAGATTGATTAATACTACCAAATTTGAAGCAAAATTGGCTATCTGAAATCTTTTTATCACTTCCTTCACAAATGAACTGACAATTTGAGAGCAACACTGTCAACTGCTCCATGTATGTATGGTTTTGAAGGCTACAAGAATCATTCACGTTCAAAGAAACGATATTTTGAAAGCTCACATTTGTGTGACAAGTTAGTTTAAGCTTAATATCCTGAAAGCTATTCTCCACAGGTGGGGTAAAATAAAGAGCAAGACATGTTCCAGCTGAGAAGATGAGGAAGAAACAAAAAAGAATTTTAAAATTTCCAATTCGATCTGCCAAAGCTCCAATTAAAGGTGCCACAAAGAAGGCTACTAGGGGTTGGACAGCAAAGATGATGGCAGTTTCTCGAATAGACATTCCAAGGGATTTAAGATGGACGGTAAAGTAGGGATACAGGGTAGCTTGTCCTGTAAATGAAAAAAGAAAATTATTAGTAAACAAAATTAGATTACTTTAGGAAAAAATAGAAGTGCTGAATTTAGTTAAGTGGACTTAATTATACACGTTCAAATATATTGAAGAACAAATATATGAGTTGACTTAGTTGAACGAACATAATTAATAATTATGGATAAATAAATGATCCCAAAATGCAACTTACAATAAGTAAAAGCAATAAAAATGTAAAAAAGCAAAAAAAAAATTAGAACATAGCTACAGCAGAATCACAAATTCTGATAAGCTGAGCTGAATATGAATAAGTACAGAAAGAGCTTTAATCGATTTTAAGACATTTTGTAATATGAATATATATATACTTATACATAATTGTAATCCAGTAGATTCAAAACTTAAACATAACTATAAACAATTTACTGAAATTAATCTAGGTAACGTAAGTGAATTTTTCACTGATACTATTGTGATAAGAGTAGAGAAAAATAATTTGTATTGTCAATTGGATTCTAAAGTACTTGAATCAGCTTGTGTGGACTTTTGACAAGAAAATAGAATTGTTTAGAGTATTAGATACAACTGTGATATCCTATAGTGTAAAGAATTTTTGTACATGTCTGTCCGATGTCATTGCATTGGTGGTCTGATTAAATCGTCACTGATTTCACAGATCATAGGGCCACACAATATGATATTTATTGTTCTCAGCTTCTTCTTCTCGATGGTAATTTATGATGTTATGAATATATTATTTTAAAACACGTGGATTGTGTGCTGTCCATTTATTGTTCGAATTTATCGCGAACAAGTCACAGGCACCTACTGTAAAGAATCCACAGCCCATATCCATAAAACTGACCACATTGTGCAGGTGTATTTTGTATCCCAAACTTTCTCATTGGTATATCTGGTCAGCTATAAGAAGTATTTCTTAGCTTATCATATCTTGTGGTCCAAGCAGAATTGCATCCATATGTCTGTCCGATGTCATTGCAACCATGGGCAGTCTACCACTTGGCATTGGTGGTCTGATTAAATCGTCACTGATTTCACAAATCATAGGGCCACACAATATGATATTTATTGTTCTCAGCTTCCTCTTCTCGATGGTAATTTATGATGTTATGTTTTATCTCTGTTTCAGTTAAATATGCCTTACATGAGTGTCCTGGGGCTAGTGTATCACTTTCCTCTATTGCATCTATGGTGATAAACTCATGGAATTCTCATCTACTGCTGTGTGAAAAGAGATTAGTGTCTTAATTATTTTTGCCAGGTCTAACCCAGGATCCATGTCCTAAGTATCTTCCATGGCTGCTTCTGCTTTTCCCTTCTGGTTAATTAGTTGTAATGGAGAGTGGTACTCCTACGAATTTCTGTGGGCAGCTACAAAAAAGAAAAAAATAGAATAGCAATAGCTTTTGGTCCCTGCTTATCTATTACTGATAAGTTAAACATCAGATTATTTTCTGAGAACAACCAGTTCTGAGTCGATGGTTCACTCAACTTTCGTATAGTTTCCACTGCCTTTTTGATATATGCTGCATTGTCAATGCACCCCTATTGGATTCCTAGCTAGTAGTAATATAATTTACCTGACTTCAGAGTGAGCCATAACTTGCTTACAAGTACATGAGAAAACAACTCTCCACTGGCTGTAATGCCTACAGCAGAGTTCAAAGAAAACTGTGACTCACATGTTAATCCCTGAAAATATCAATGACACCATTTGCAGCTGATGCAATAATATCTTCTGATTCTTAAGTCTCAACCAACACTAACTATCCTTACAGGCCTAGTAAAAATATAAACCTTTATGTCCGGGGGATAATATTCTAATGCAGTGAAACTGACAACATACAAATAGTATGCATCATTGTATATTCTTATTAAAGCTGATTTACATTTTATGTGGACTTAAGATTGAAACCAATTATGTTAGTAACTAAAACTTGCTTTGAATGATACTCCATTATTGGCTTATCTCAGGCAAGATTGTCCATTCACATAACTGCAGTGATAATAGAATTAGTGTGGTGTTGTCACAAGTGCTGGAATGTGTATGGAGACTGATCTCATACACCAATCATAAGTAGATGGCTTCTGAATGCAAAAACTGTACTATAAAGAAGATACTGCTGCTGTGTACTAATTGTCAAAAACTGCCACCACAACATGCATGGTAGGAAGTTCATTTTTCAAGTGGCCTATACACACTGTAATGGGTAATGAATTTTTAACACATGGAAGCCATCATTACACATTGGGCTGCGACATTGTAAACCTCTAAACTTTACTGTAAAACACCGTGTTGTGCAGAAACACACAAGGAGTGTCTTACCTGAGTTTGAACATTTGTTGAATATCTATATCTGGGACATCATATAGGTATAAAGGCCATTGCAAAAGCAGGGATAATATGCTATAGAGGCAGTGGTGACTTATTTTGTGGATAGACTCCACACATGATTTTTGGGAGAAACAACTCAAGGATCCAAATCTAACTTTTTATACTATACAGACAGGTGAAAAACTACATTTTCAGTTGAGAAAATGCAGCATGAAAACACAAAACATCTGATAGTGAAATGAGCAGTTATGGGTAAGGACGATTTGCTCTACTGCTGCAATGAACACTGACATTTGGCTCCAAGTATGTGATACAATTGAGGTATTTCAAGTAGAAAATACTTTGAATTTTGCATGGTGCAAGTACTAGAAGTTATGTGTGTGATGCTCAGAAAAAAAAAACCCTGCCACATCAGGGAAATCCAACAGAGAATTGTAGCCTTTTCATTGCAGAGAATAACCCTTGATATAACTGGTCCTTTCATGGAGGTTATCAGTATGTCATTATCAGTTACTTTCATAAGTGGAGAGGAGTTTATTCATTTGTTTTAACCACGAACAGCCTTCCATGTGATTTTTCTAAGTTTAAATTTCTTGATTTAGACACCCTTATTATCAGTGCTCAAAGGTAAGAAAGAGTTCGATGTTTCCACAAACGACGTATTTTGCTAATTTTATATTGTCGATCTTTGTAACTACTCATAAAACTTTGTTTCTATTTGTTTTCGATAAAATTTTTTCACTCTGTTAGTATTGATACGCTTTGCCGTTTCTTGTTTGCATTGTATATAGGGCCCGGCATGGCCAGGTGGTTAGGGCGCTCGACTCGCAATCTGAGGGTCGCGGGTTCGAATCCCCGTCACACCAAACATGCTCGCCTTTTCAGCCGTGGAGGCGTTCTAATGTGACGGTCAATCCCACTATTCGTTGGTAAAAGAGTAG